TGATTGAAATAGGTTTTTTTATTTTCTGGTAATTAAGCCTTAAAACATCATAATAAAACAAATTCAAAACAAGGAGAGCTAGAGGGGGGCTTACATCTGGATGGGAGGGGGGTGGGGGCTCATAAATAGATGTATTTTTTGGTTTACAGGTATATGGGTCTATAAGCAGGGGGCTTATAAGTGCAATTTATAGCATGGTTATGACCACAAGATGGTTTAAGTTTGGTCATGATGGGATAATCTAAGTTGACAGGTCTATAGGTCAGTTTTGATTCCCAGCTGGTATAATTTAGAGTCTGAAAGTAACATGAACAGCTTATAAACAACATGAGATCACCTGTGGTTTCCTTGTATTGCCGACAAGTGTTGTGGCCAGATTTTCAATGCCATCTGATAATCCTGCCAGGCCTTGGCATGTCTTAAAAACAAACCAAATCAAAACAGTATGAAAGAATGTTATGTACCAAACTACAACGCAAGTTAAATGTTCATATGACTGCCATCCTCTTGCAAAAGACATCAGATTGACTCTTGTCTATAGTGGGTTGTGTCTTGTTTCTTAACACAAGTCTCATTTCCTGTGGGAGTCCATTAAAAGCTGCCAGTCTGCCAGTAAAATGTGCATTGTACTATCAAGTTTTAGTATAAATCTACTAGCACTCTATCATGAATGGCATTCTCTGATTCGCTACACAACTCACTATCTATTCTGTTGTAGATAGTGAGTAGCGTGGCAGTGTGTGCTTGTTAACATGCTGGTGGCCGCTTCTTTGCGTTTTCGAAGCATCTGTGAAGAGGATTTAGATCAAGTTTTGAGGGTCTAATAGATTTATACTAACAGAATTAGATTATATGCTCTTGATTTCTATGCGTGACAGTTGACTCGGGCCACGTCCTTGTCAACTATTGTGTGATAGAAATCTTGAGCTCATAATCTAATTGTGGAAGTTTGGGAGAATGACAAAAAATACAGCATTCGATGCACACTTTCTTAAAGGGTGTTTTCTGAAACCTTTGAATGTTTGGCTTTGATCCTCTCACAAGATTTGTAAAAAATAATGATATCAGCATTACAATGTGATTATGAAATAACAGAAATATTCCATAGCAACATAATTAAACTGTTGTATTCATGACAATTTGCTCTTTTTCACAGATGAATGTATGCCTTTTGCAAGAGTAGCTTGTTTGAAACTATAACAAAGTTGCTAGTTTCATGTTAAAAAACACAGGCCTCGCCTAAGTGTCACACATGTCTTTTCATCAGCTGTTTGAAATAAATCTGAACTTCAGGCCGAAATGTTCCATACTTCTACATGAACACAGCATTACTGAAATTGTTGTGGCTGTCACAGATTAGTTGTTGTGCAACAATTTCCACCAATTTCTGTGATTATGTGTAGTAGAGTCATATCTATATAAATATAAAATTCACAGAAGTTGCTATCACACACAATGACCAGGGATGAAGAAGGCCAGACAAGAGATATCTGTCTTCCTATTATAAACTAATATCTAGGGGTTCAAAGGTAAAGTTTGCATACAAGCTTTCCCGGTTCCTGTAGCATGACACAACTAGGTGTATTTCCACTCCACCCAAGATGGGATGCTAGTCCATCACAGGGTTACCCCCAGCATTAAGGTCAACGGTAGCCATTTATACACCTGGGTGGAGAGAGGCACTGTGAGAGTAAAGTGCCTTACCCATGAACACAACAGAATAACCCAACCAGGGCTCAAACCTGGACTACACGATTCGGAGACGAGTGCACAAACCATGAGGCCACTGCCCCTCCCAGGGTTCAAAACACAAACTATAATAGAACCATTGGGAACATTTGCATACTTTTCTGAGATTTCATATGCTGTTGCTCTCTTAAGCAATGGTCGAAAAGCACCTGGTATAATTTCCAGAGCTGCTGTACAATCCGAAATACAACCAGTGCAGTCACCAATCTTCATCATACATGAGCCACGGTTACACAACAAGGCACACAGAGGTCTGTGGAATACAACTTTATCTGTGGAGAAGAACAGCAGAGAGCTGGAAATTAACACTCAGTCAGAATCTAAGTTGCGAACTAACGAAAAACACAGTATGCTTTTTATGTCCTGTTAAACAAGATGTCCTCTTTTGACAACCAGAAGAGCAGTCACCTTTGTACTTTGGAATATGAAAGATGTGGATTGAGCGAAAGTACTGTTTGTTAACAATAACAACATATCAAGTTTATATTTGTCTGACCGCAATCAAACTACACAGTGTGATTAACAACACTCTTGAGATAAAAAATAACCTCTTACTAACTGAGCGAGAGGGCCATACTGTGGAATATTGGACTGAACTTGTGTGTAGTATGGACTGAGCACACTTGAGTTCTGTACAAAAATGACCAAGGGCTAATATAGCCGTGTACAGTAAAGCTAGAATAAGTAAGGTTAGTNAAAGTACTGTTTGTTAACAATAACAACATATTAAGTTTATATTTGTCTGACCGCAATCAAACTACACAGTGTGATTAACGATACTCTTGAGATAAAAAATAACCTCTTACTGAGCGAGAGGGCCATACTGTGGAATATTGGACTGAGATTGTGTGTAGTATGGACTGAGCACACTTGAGTTCTGTACAAAAATGACTAAGGCCTAATATACCCCTGTACAGTAAAGCTAGAATAAGCCAGGTTAGTACTAAATAGTTTATTATAATTATTGCACTTTGCCTGTGCTTTCTAAAACAAAAAAAATATGCAATAAATGATTGTTTCCAAAAAACTTATTGAAACTGTCCTTATAGCTGCTTCCTGACCAAGAAAGAACCAATCACAATGCCTGGAATGCTTGCTATTTCTAGTACAGTTACCTCTTCCAGTGTAAGGTTCAAACTATTACATTACATTTGCCTTTGTTACCTTTCTGAAGGATATCAATGGCTTGTGTAAATTGTTCTGCTGCTTCAGCATATCGTCCGAGCTTAAACATTTCTGATCCATCTTTCTGAGCTTTCAGCACCAGTGCAGGCAATTCAGGCTCTGGCTCCACCTGTGATTTCTCAACTGAATGCAAATTGCCANAAAAATAGAAAATATGTACCTTAGCTCTCTTATTGTTCGGTTCTATAGCGAGAATTTGAGAAAGGTCCTCCTTGGCTTCTTGATTCAGCCCTTGTCCTTGATGAGCTATGGCCCTCCTTAGGTAAGCTATAAATTCAAAGCAAAAGAATTTAAGTAAAATTCACTAACACAGATGACCTTTGTTTCAAGCTTCAAGTGACATGCCCTGGACAGAACACAGAAACATGGCAAGTATATCTACTGGTATGCTAGTTTCAGTGCCTCCTCACAAACAGCCGTTGAGTCTTATATCAAGAAACTCAATCATCGGAACTCACAGTTTTTCCCAGTCTCTCAATGTCTTGGGACAAACGACATGTCTCTAGAGGTTCCAAACTACTTTTGCATGGGACATGTACAGTTCGCAAAATGTACTTATCATAACCTTACCTGTATTATTTAGTTTCAATACTATAAAGTATGCATTGAGTGAAAAACAGAGCTTTTTATAGTATGATTTTTCATGGTTGGTAGTTAAAAAATTAAGTCGCACAAAAAATACTGCTGCAATACCTTTGACGTTCTTGGGCTCCATACTAAGGACATGGTTGCAGTCAGCCACGGCTTCTTGGAACTTTTCAAGCCTTATTTCTTCAAGAGAAAAAAGAACAAAAGCATGGTCTGTCTGTGGTACTTAATCCAAACTAGGTATCCTGAGCTGTGGCCTTATGCTCCACTCACGAAGAGGTGAAGAGGATGAGTGAGTGAGTGAGATATCCTGAGCCAGTTGTTTTCAAACTGACTGACACTAATCTGGGATTACAGTTGTAGCTTTCTAATTTCAACGTAACAGCACTGCATAAGCATTCTGTCCCTAACAAGTGCCCTATTTGCACTACCAAAATTTCATATACACTGCGAGTGTCATGGTGCATGTACCTGCAAGTGCTCTGTTGTTATAAACAGCTGCTGCTTTGGGATTCAGCTCAATGCTGCGGCAATAATACATCAAAGCCTCAGAATAGTTGCCAGTCTGAAATGATTCATTGCCTTTCTCCTTTTCTCTGTTGGCTAGGACTTGTCTTTCAGTCTCACTTTTGTCTTTTCAGAATAAAAAAAAATATATATTAATAATAAATCTGTAAATTATTTTTCTAACTATATTGAAGGTTGCACTGGAAGGTTATACTTGTGTGCAAATGTATCTGCATCAATACCTGGCTATCAACAGAGTTGAATAATGTTATCCTTTCTCACAAATAACTGGTAGCTATGCACAGCCAAATCACGCCTGTTTTAGCTTGATCAGGTTGGTAAATACAGAAAGTGTCATAGTGAATATGCAAGGAATAATTATTGTTGAGTTCTGCATGCCTACCATTGCTAAAATGAACAGGTAATAAAGTGTGGGACTGAGAACAAGTGGTAGATTAACAGAAGGCCAGATGGCCAGACAGGCAGACAGACAGACAGACAGACTGGCAGACAGACAGGCAGGCAGGCAGGCAGGCAGGCAGACAGACAGAGAGCCAGCCAGCCAGACAACCAACCAGCCAGTTCTTAGGACAAGATCCTCATCAGCTCTGTCTCAGACTGACTTGTGCTCAATGCAAACTTACCTTTTAAATCTAAATTTGACGCAACAGCTCTTCTGTTCATTGCTTTAGCTTTTTCCTGTTTCTTTTTCTTTTCTTCCTCCTCTTGTTTTTCCAGAGACTCAATCTCCTTGTCAGGGTCAAATCTGAATGGAAAAAAAATCCGAGCCTGTTAATACTCTAAGGTGATTCACATAAATCAACCATAAATGAAATACAACCGTGTCTGCTTCATAGTAAACCAGCAGCTTTACTTGCTTTTGTTGATACAAAATAAATTCTCCTGGCTAACTGTTACAATAAAATAGGTATGGAGGCAATTAAGAAGAAATTGTTTTTCAATCTACCTGTCCCACTCTTGATAGCCACGAGGTAGCACAGTCTTTTCCTTCTTTTCCTCAGGGGGACGTGGCTGCAGACGTCAAAGAAAACATTATTCAGCCTTGCCGTGGACATTGTCAAGGTCACCTGCATTACTAGGCTACTTTAACTGTGTTTCTATAGAGTTACACAAACACAAGTGGAATGTTTGAAAAAAATCACACTTAATTGAAAATGTTTCTGTTTCCACAGCTGTGGCCAGATTCGTTCTACCTGTCTCAGTGTAGCATGGGCTAATAGTTTGTGGAATTATCTTTTCCTAGTATTTTCTCCTTTTTTCCTTACAAACGGTGCATACATTGTCTATCAATAATTTAGTGTCAAAGCAATAACTTTGTATTTGAGTCTAACTGTATTTAAACTTGTCAGCAATAGTAAAAATAGTAACAAATTTTGTTAAATAAAACAATTAAGAGGTTAGATTTCATTTAATATGCAACAGCCTGATTAAACAGAGAATGGTCTCCCTTCATGATCAAGTACTGAGTTCACCTACTTTGACACAACAGAGACTGCATCTGAGATTTGAATTGTAAAGTTCCATTAGATAGTAATTTTCACACACCGCTGGGAGCCAATATGCCAAGTTGAACCACGCAGCCTGACCTTTATCAACATAACATAGCTGTCTTACAACGACACAAAAAAGTGGCTGGAGAATAATTTCACTTCAACTTAATACATTCCAAAAATACTTCATGGGTGGCTGGGTGGGGCATGACAGGCAATGGCAGATGGCAAAACAAAAACTGAATCTTACACAAGTCATGTGACCTGAAAACCCCCTGCACACTTGTACTAAGACTCCCAGCTATGTGTGAGAAAAATGTTTTCTGCTTCTTTCATTCCTCAGCCAGCAGCAAACCACACTAACAAGCAAAATATTAAACCAGTACCAGCACCGTTTTGACCAGCAAAGCTTCAAAGTCACTAAGATTAAGTACAAGCCCCTTAACAAACCTTAGCAGGGGACTCTTCACTGCTTGCTGTTGCTGTTCTGATTGGAGGGAGATTATCATTTTCTAATTCTCTTGTCACACCCACTGTCTTCAATGATTTGTCTGCCTGCTCAATAGTTGCCATCCATTCCTAAGAATTTCAAAGACCATTTATCACCCAACTGTTATTCATCTGGCAACTGCACCAGGACAGTATAAAAATGAATCTCAATTCTCCCTACATTTACCATACATTTCTTTCAATGTCAGTTCTGAGAAATTGGTATCACATCAAGACAATATCCTATGATGAACATTAATATACTCTATTCTTAACAAATTAACCTTAACAAATTGACGTCAGTTTTTCAAGTGTCTGTCCTGTTTTTTTACGATAACAAATTGTCAAATTGCCTGCTCTTGCTTGTTGCTGCATTGCATCAATTATAAATTCATGTGTCTGTCTGCTTACTGACAATCATGAAAATTGGCCAATGAGCATTGATTTAATAAGAAATAGAAAACATGTAGTGTGTTTCTTTTGAGTTACAGAAACACAAGAAGACGTTTGGGAGAACGAGAAATGCTGTGGGAACATGAGCCAACAGGCAAGTGTTTCCACAGTTCTCCCAAACTATCGTGAGTGCTTCTATAACTCGATAGAAACATGCAGAAGATGTTTCTACTTCTGCTAGAAAATTCAACCATGAAAATAAACAGAAAACAACTTTTCTGTTTGAATCGTCAAAATGTAAATTATCTTTACTTGTGTCATCATTACGACAACAGCTCATGCTAGTTTTGTGTTTCTATCAAGATAAAGAAATGCAACTTTAAACCAGTCAGTGAGCATCTTTTCTTTGGGCTATTTTCTAATCAATAATATTGTCAGGGGTGGATATAAGATTTATAAACTTTCTAATCTAAACACTAAAACATCAACAAAAATGATAATGACACAAACTTGCAAATCATCTGTGATCTCCTGTTTCTCTGTTTTGGTCAAATCACGGTAGGTATTGATAGACTGCTCTTTACGAAGACTTTTGCTGTGAAAAAAAAAAAAAAATTAAAACTAGCATCAGTTGTATTTGCACCTGCAGTACTATAAAAACACAAAACTCAAGGTCCAGTGTATCAGATATTGTTAACAGAATTTAGCTTAAAGTTCAGTCAAACTTAAAGTTGAATCCTACATGTATGTGTCTTGAGTACACAAGACCCATTATACCTTGTGAAGTTCCAGAAAATATCCACACTACCCCCACAGAAGGGATCAAAATTTTCTGGGGGGGGGGTGAGTTCTAAACATAGAACAATGCTTAAAAGTGTAAAAAACTTCCACCTCACCTTTTAGGATTGATTTTCCTTAACTTTTCTTCTGTAAATTCAATTAGTTCTGGATAAAAGCCTTCATCTCCAGATCTGCAAATTAGATTTTGGGCAATATTAAACAGAAAACTGCACAAGTTTCATTACATCCTTTTATACTGTGCGTCAGAATATTCACTCTAAGCACCAAATAAAAGAACAAACCCTGACTTCCTAGAGCTATTGTCTTTTATGTCAAAGTGTGCCGTCTACCTGTTCTGTTTGCAGAAGGTCAACTGCAGTTATGTGACTTTCTAGGTAGGCCCTGGGGGTACTACCGTATATAAGCTATATGAGTATGTGCTGCTGTGAAGGGTATGGTTTTCAGGCAATTTAGTCCAGGATAGTGTATAGAAATCAGACAGTTTTATTCAGTTTGTAACCAGGAAAGTGGCTAGTGTGTAAATAATTTAGTCTAGAACAGGGCTCTTTACCTGGGGTACTACAGAATAGAAATATATGAAACTCACAAGTGGGATCTTTACATTGACAGAATCACAACTGTATGGAAAATAGCTAGTCCGGAATAAGGTAGGGTTTTTGGCGCCTAGTCTAGAACTGGGTTGCAAAATCAAGCTGATTTTAGTGATTCTAGTATAGGGTGAGTGTCTCAGTGGCACAACTCCACCCAAAGATTTACAGAGTACCCCCCCTGGAAGGTAGGCCCTTAATCACACATCATCCATGAAAACAAGCTCTTTAGGATGAACAGCATGATTTCAAGGTGATAGTTGCACATGACACCCTAAAACTGCCTCTGAACACAGAAGAACTCTTCAACTTCTGCCATTCAAGGTAGGGAGAATTTGATGACAATCAGATCTTTACACAGGACTTGAAGAATTCCAGAGACTGGATAAAACTAAAAAGTGTTGCTGCAACATTAAAAATCAACCACTACTCACCGCAAAACCTTGAGAATTTTTTCGAGTTCTTTGCCATTTTTACACTCCTTGACATAAGTGTAGTCGAGGTGTTCAATTGGGACTCCTGATGTGGTGTTAGATCCCGCTAAAAGTCCTGCCCCAACATCTTCTCCCATGGCGTCCGTAAACTAGCTCTAAAACACAACGATAGGCTTATAATCAACAGCTATATGCTCAAAGATGCTGGAAAAACACTATCGGCTACAATAAATTTAACTTCAGCTTACTTCGAAAAAGTATTGGCTAAAGTCTTCGTTCGCTCTGTCACAGGCAGTAAAATTTTCCTAGAGCAAATTTCGAGCCGTGACATAATCAAATGATTCTATAATCGTTCTCAAAGTACCTTTACCTTTTTGTTATCTGTTCATATTTCAGTGGTCTGTATTTCGTAGCTAAAATCTAAACTAAAGTTTGGTTTCCAAGAGAACTCCCCAGAAATATCACCATTTTGGACACTGAAGTGAGCCCGCATAGCCCTACCGCATCAGCCATGTGCGTTTTCTTTCAGGCTATGTGATTGGTTCGATTCGAAAAGTTCTACCATTGAACCAATCACATCTTTTGATATATTTGCAAACTGGGTACAAGAATAAAACCCGCACCTTTGCAAGTTCCTTTTTCCATCTTTCTCGGAATTGGACAAGTTTCGCTGAAAACTGAATTAATTGATCGCTCATTTCAAGACCGTCATGAGTTCAGCTATGCTTCACGAATCCATCTGGGTCGACAGGCCGAAATATGAACAAGCCGAGGCACATTATCAAAGATTTCTCGCGGGAACGATCGCTCAGCCGGCACATGGAGCGAATTCAGTAAAGGTGCGATTTTTTTTTTATTTCCGTCCATGTACACAATGAATTGATCTAAACGAGGAAAATACATTAATCAGTCCAATAGGCGTTTAACATAGTTACAACCCATAAAACACGATTTAGCATGACAGTAAGTAATTAGCTCATATTGAAATAAAGCGTAACAATATGTTTGAAGAAAAGAAATTCAGCAAGGAATCTGAGCGCAAAGGAATTTATCCGGGGAATATATTTTGGTTTCAGTGATTGAATTCAGCGGGGCCAATCCATTTTATGTCTACCCCCCTCTCACCTCCTCTTCACTTCCCCTGTAGAAAAGGTAAGTCAAAATTTATCCCTAAAGACATCAAAATGCTGATTAAGTCTCAATACCCCTCAAGACCTCCCCCCACTTCCCCCTCAAGAAAAAAAATCTTCTTAAAAATGTTCCAAACATCAAGCAATACTGATGTAGTAATCTTCTCAGGAATGACTGTTGTAGAGCCCATCCTTGTCAACAAGGATTGGGATGTAAAAAATTATGTCTAAAATGGAATAGTCCTCAGAATTGCATTGATATCTATCTGTTTCATATTTTATTTTGCTGTTTTGCTGTGCAATGTCCCTCATGCTTGGGGAGGCACTACGTCACGAGGAACAAGCCTTACAATATTTGATTACTAACCCTAACCTGAAAACTAACCCTGACCTGACCAAATTACAATATTTGTAAAGGAATCCACATCAGCCTTAACCGGTTTTTGTACTGGTTCTCTATCCTGGTTGAACTGGAATTTGGAATTGTTGGTTTTTGTGGAGGGAGGAAAACCAGAGAACCCAGAGAAAAACCCTTGGAGCAAGGCAAGAACCAACAACAAACTCAACCCACATATGGCACCAGGCTAGAATCGAACCCAGGCCACAATGGGGGGAAGTGAACACTCTCACCCCTGCACCATCCCTGCTCCTCACAATCAAAGTCTACTCTACCTAACCCTAAGCTTACCCTAAGATACTAACCTAACCATAAACTACTGAAATGCTGCTTAACTCTAAATACTAAATCCCTAAATCCCCAATAAATCTTCAATAATTCTTGAGGATGTTGAGTGCAACTCCATATCATCTTGAACAATTAAGAGTGCAGATGTATACATATATGAACAGATCTGTTTTGCATTGTAACTGTTGTCACTTAACTGTCCGCTTTATTGAGTATTTTGGTGTTGTATCATGGTTATTGTAAGATAACTTGACTATCATACTACTGTTGTTTGCTGTTTTCATTCCTTTACTTTTTATTTGTCTTCGCAAATTACCAGCAATAAAATTTTTTCATAGATTTGTACATTCTCAACCCATTCGCTGTGTGACTTTTCTTAATCTTCAATAATCTCAGACATCAGTTCTTTCCAGTACTATACGTAACTCCCTCTGATTTTTCATGTCTGTCCTTCATTCCTTTTCAAAATGCATTCTTTTCTCTCTCAGGCTTCAAGCTTTTCTCCGGTTCAAGAGATAGCAAAAGCCCGTAAAAAAATTCAACAGACTCTTAGCACGGTAAGCTAGACTTAGCTTGCCCCAACTTTCATCTAATAAGTTCAGTGTAACCCCTGATGACCTCACCATTTAGTGCAGTCCTTTCATATTAGAACACGGAAGGCCTTATGTGCAACTTAGGCACAAACAGGATTATGTGTGTTATGTTTCATATAGAACGGGTTGAATGAATGAAGAAACTATAGATCATACCTTTTTAAAATAATTTTTGGGTCTGTTTTGACCAATGTTTTTGCATCAAGAGACGAGTTGAGAAACAGTCACTTTAGTCTTCTTAGTATATTTATCAAATTTCAGATGCCTATGAAATAGCAAATTATTAGTACAGATAAAGAAAACTTTGTTTAAGTAATGAGGACCTCTTAAATTCACGAGACCACCTCATTATTACACTTACTATTTAATGCTCAGTCATTTATTTTTAATTCCATGCATGCATTTTGTTTTTTATGTAGGCTCCTTCTTCCACACCAGCTGTAGCTGGAGGAGATACACGNCATCACCTTCTCAACAGTTAATTGAGTCTGACTGGCACTTGACTGACCTTGTGTGGAGGTTTGTGCCTGGGTTGCGGGTAATCAAAGTATCAGAGGTCTCGGTCATCCCAGACAGCCATCTTCCACTCGCTCTGTACAATGCAGTTGTTAAAATCTAATTATGTGGTCATTTCATACACCTTAGCCACCACAGAAAGAAACAAAAGCCAAGGAAGATGATGATGACGACTTTGACTTGTTTGGCTCCGATGATGATGATGATGATGATGAGGAAGAAGTAAGAAAATACTGTTAGATAGACCCTAGGGGTTGGGGTACTCCCTACAGTGGCCTACATGAGAGGCTCTGCTCGAAAGGGGTACCTTCTTCAGGCTTTAGATTTATAAAAGGGTATGCTCTTCACAAGTTGAGGTATACATGTATGAAAGGGTTTGAAAATCTGTCATTTAATTATTTTAAAGGGCCTTTAATTAAAATATTTCAAACGGACGCACCTTATGGCTATATCAGGCACTAGGCACTACATGAAAATGACAAGAAGACTTCCTTTTTTGGTGATTTATTCATAATACGGGCCAGTTATGAACGTATGTGAAAGAGGTACTTTTTTTCCATAATGGCATACAAAAGGGCCAGTACCTTTTCTGTCATAATAGTATACAAAAGGGTAGGGGGTTGGACCTCAGGGCAGAGCCTCACTGTATAGGACATTGTAGAGTGCCCCCCTCCCCCTCTGGGAGATGGACAGGCAATGAGAATGTCTCTGAGATACTGCTTTGACATTAGAGGGTTGTCATATACTTTCCAGTTGTTCGACTTGGACCAGTTGTGCCACTAGAACCACTTGAATCTTAACTTTCACAATTTGA